TAGACCCAAAAAACACAACTAAGAGCCTGAAAATGACTCGACTCACGAGTCACGACATTAAAAACATGAAATTAAGTTAATAAAAAAAACATTAAAATTTGGTTTTCTACCATAACTAGCTATAAAAACAGGCGAAAAACTTTGTATCTTTTGAATAATCCATCTTTTATATATATATATTGATGTACGGTCCCAAGTCTATATTTATAGGATGAAAGTATGATTCATTATCGACTTATCGTTTCTTAAAATGTTGGGTTTTCATACTTGATTGCCCAATCATAATTCTTGAGCCTTATAATTTCCATATGTAATTCAATGCGCGGGCGGAGTTTGTCTTTTTTCAAAGTCATAAAGCGTTTTGTACAAAGTTCGGCTTGCGGCATTAATTACAACCATGCGCACATTAATCACATGCTCTATGGGGAAACCATAGTTTCACCCCATATTTTTAGTTATAAATTATACTATTACGGGAAATGCTTCCCTACCCACGGTGGGCACATGTTAATATGTCCATTGCTTATGTGGCATGCATACATTGGTGATGTTAATATATTAAAAAAAAATACATCACCAATGTGTGCATGTCACATAAGTGGTGGGTATATTAACATGTGCCCACCGTGGGTAGGAGAACATTTCCGATACTATTACATAAGGAACTTCGTAAAGTAGTCTATCAATAAAGAAAAGTAATTCATAAACTACCGACAAACGACATACATTTACGATAAAAAAAAAGATAATTCATATATAAGGTATAAATGTTGGATAATTAAGTCGAAAAACTAACTGAGAAGTAAGTTAGTTGATAACTTAGAAGTATATTTGAAACTTATAGTTGATAATTTATGTGATGTAAATAAAAAAAAAAGTTGAAACAATAATAATATTTGATGAAATGTTAAGTTTGACTTAAATAAAATTTTCAAAAGGTCTTTTTGAAACATTACATGCATGGACAAACTTATGTGATAAGCCCTAGTTTTTATTTTTTACATACCAAATCAAACTGAATACAAAAAGTTTATAAACTAATATGTATAAGCTAGTTTGTATTTGGTAGTGGGATGCTTGAGCTAGAATTGGAGGTTTGAATCTCAATTAAATATTTCAGCACTCGGATGTTTTTTTATCACATGTTTAGTAAAGAGAGTTTTGAAATTATATTTTTAGGTCCAAAAGCTTATTTAGGAAGATCAAAATATGAGCTTTCTTGTGAATATGTGATTGAAAAATAATTTAAAAAATGTACTTTATTGTTATATATATTACTTACGGATAATTAATGTACAAATAATATTATTAACTGTTACGATTATTTATTGCATATTAAACGTAATACTTTTAGAGATTATTAATTCAAAAAATTATATATGTGATACTTGTAGATCAATCAATACTAGTGTGGTCCATGCGATGCACGGGGTGCACAATTTTTAAGCTATTTATCTAGGCTTATAATTATATATGAATAAAGAAAAATGTACGGGATATATATAGTACGTGACCCGTGCGAGGCACTGGATATATATATATTTGAAGAGTATTTTGAGATTTATAATTTATAATTGGTAGAGTAGAATCAATATCCGTTAAGATTTTTTTAAAAAAAATCTTGATATACGAAAATCGCATTATATGTAGAGGAACAAATCAGATCAGATTTTCCATACAATTAGATAATATTTTTTGTACAAAGATAAGAAAGAATTTTAAATCTACATAAACTATAAATGTTAGATGTATTGATTACGTAAATCAATATCTATATAGACAACCAAACTCTTCAAGTTAGGCTTGACATCTGATTTATTTTTGATAAAATCAAGATTTTATCTTCCGGTCAAATCTGTCTTTTTTTTTTGTTTTACGTACATTTTTTTTTTGTACAGATTGTATGGGAAAAAATAATTAAATAATAATTAATTGATGAAAATAGAATGCATTAATTACTTTTGACTTTTCTTCCTACTAATTCTAGTAAATGGGATGGCTTTTTATATAAGTATAGATTGTTATAAATCACTCTCTAATTTTTGACACTATAACCTGTCATGACCCAAGCAAATGAGGAAGAGAAAGAGATGTCGGAGAAGGTTGGATTCGAGGAAATGGCGATTGGGCACGGTGTATCGCCAGAGAAGACGATCGACTAGGGTTTGTTTGAAAATGAAAATGGGATTTGGGTTATGGGTTGTGTTTTGGTCATTAGCTTAACTAGTTGGGCCAAGTTATCTTTCTTTTAGTTATTTTTATTTAAAGTTGAGTTTTGTTATTGGGTATTTCGGCCTATGTGTTTTGGCCCATTTGAGTAGAACATGTGTGTTACGTTTTGTGAGATTCCCTTGGTCCCACAGACGGTTATTTAGAGGAAAAGTGGAAATGAAAAACATTTTATGGTTGTGATAACAAATTCTCCTTTTCTCTACTTTCTCTCTCTAAAATTCTCCTTCCCCGTTCTTCCCCTTCTCTCTTACAATTCTCATGGATTCCTTACCAAGCTACTAATTAATTACAGAAATTATCAAGAAAACCATCGAAATCGTAACATAATCTTCTTCTTGAAAATAAATGAAAGACCCCTATCTTTATGATATATACTTGTAACGTGCTGCGTGCATGGGACGGATACGCTAAGTAATCGAATTTTGCGGTCAAAATTAGTGACAAAAGTCAATACCAAAAGAGTGAAAGGGACTACATAGAAAGAATGACATTTTAATGTTTGGTTGTTTATAGTCCAGCCACTTGATGCCCAGGAGAAGAGAGATTTTCATGTATCATATAAGGGTGCTATTATTTTATTCCTTATTTATTTCTTATCAAACTTTAATTGAATAAAAGTAGATACAACATGCAGGTTTGAATAATTTTGCAACTCATATAGAACGAGTCTAAAAAAATTAGGCACCGCCATTCAAATGACGTGACTGCACGGCTAATCACAAACAAACAGAGATGCCTTTTTATGAAATATCCTTTATAATTGCATGTTTACACTTACTTTGCACACGTCACACCCAATGAGAGGCAATTATGTATGTTTTTTTTTTTTAATCATCAAATTAAATTTGGATGGTTAGATAAGATTTTTCGGGTTCAATTTTGTTGCCTCGTGTTATTTTTTTGTTAGTATTGCTCCCGACAAGTTATTNAAAAAAAAAAAAAGAAAAAGACATTTAGACTGGAAAAGCTTCCTTTAGGTTACCAAATTTAGTAAGAAAATTTGACAAATTGGCGTTCATGAAAAGTTTGCCACACAATTTTGAATTTTTCCCCATGTAAGGTTATGGTGAGGTCTAATCGCGCACAAATGTGAGAACAATGTGTAAAACTTTAAAACGATTAATAGCTGGCTTCAGAGTTCAAAGTTCAAACGTGCATTTTCTTGAATGCCTAACTATTTATTATTTGACATAAATACTCATATATGAAAGATATAATATTTTGGCGGGGGTTCGAAAGGAAGTTCCTGCATGCATTAAACTCGTAAATAAGGGAAGTTCTATGTAGTTCATATTTCTTAAATTAGCTTATATTGTTTAAAAAGAATATTTGATCTTATTGTGTGTTTATATTCTGTAGGTAATCAGTTTATAAGGAAAGAGAGCCTCACGCACGTAGGAGATTGCAAAGAGTAAAGAAAGAGATTGGATAACTAAGGAAATTGGATATTTGGAGAGAGAGGAAGAGTCCTATACTTGGTAGGATATCTTGGATATATACTCGAAAAGGAACCTAGACCTTGCGGGACACTCTACAAAAAGGAAATCATATATAAACCTACCTTGAAGATTGAAATGCGGCTGCTGAAGTGATCGCTATCATTCATCACCTTCAAGCTTCAAGTTTAGTGCTTACATTCTTGTTTTGAGTTTAGTTCTCGGAACACTTGATTACCAAGGAACTGAAATCATTTCCTTTGTATTGTTCTTCTTTATTCTGATTTGAACAATTTTAGTCATTTACACTTAGGGAGTAAGTGTGAAAAATAAGTCCACGAGACGTGGCCGGAGAAGTAGTTGATAGGCTAGATCATAGTTGTGGTTAGAATATAAGGGAGTTCTATTTTGTAAATCCAAACTATGTGTTCGATAGTTGTCAATGAAAGAGCTCTGAAGGGAAGTGAGATGCTTCCCTGAAGAGTTTTTAAATCTTTGGTTATTGCTTCCGCAAATTGCAGTTGTTACACTTGTTAGTACAACGTTGAGCGCACTCCGAATAAATTTGTACGTTTCAATATAAAAATAAATCAAATAATAATTTCGGTGTAAAACAAACCAATGCTTATAAATCAATATACCAATATAAATTGAAGTACACTCTAAATGTTTCGTGTCATATAATTATAAGTATATTAAATGATTTTTTTAGCTTAAGATAACATGAAATAACTTTTTTCACTAAGTTTCAAAAGTTTATGTTAATATTATAAAAGTAGGCGTACACAACGAGACGTACTGTTTTGGCAAAAAAATTCATTGGTAAATCGTATTTGAATGTAATTTAATCTAAATTAAATTAACTAGTAAGAGCTTGCCCTCATAGCCACTCAAACCTACAATTTGTTAATCACACAAGATGCTGTAAGTCAATTTAATAAGTATGTGGATCAACTGATAAAGCAAAAAATATATATTTTTATTGTATTTAATAATTATATCATTTTCCCCTTAATACGCAATTATAACTGAACAGCATATTACCGTGAGCCCAAATTATCAAAAATTCTAAAACAGTTGATGAAGAAAAAGAGAGAATGTTTCCAAAAGTCAAACACAGCTTGGCAAAAAAGGCCAAAAAGTCCATTAAAAACAGTAAAAATTCTTCTCTCCTTTCTTACGTAGCCGCAATATTTCCCATTCACTCTCATTCGTTCAAATTAAAAATATGTTACTATTAAATATTCGTACACACTATATTTTTCTCTCTCTATAAATATATTTTTCATCTCTTTCATATGATCCATTTATCCATATTGTTATAGAGTNAAAAAAAAAAAAAAAAAAGAAAAAATGGAAAATTATCACAGAGCTATGGTTAGAAAGTACCGAAAATCGTCGGCTCCTCGTCTCCGGTGGACACCCGACCTCCATCATCGGTTTGTCGAAGCTGTTCAGAAACTCGGTGGCAAACACAGTAATTAATTTATTTTTCTTTTCATTTTTCCTCTCTCTCTCGAGTCAATTAGATTAGTAAAGAATTCGATTTTGGTCAGTATATATATAATAAACTCATGCTGCAGTTGAAAAATATGGTATTATTGGTATTTTGCTATGTAATTTGCTCCAAGATATTACGATTTGCCACAAAGTTCGATACGTTCGATGTATGCGATTTTTCTATTTTGAGATTCACTTTCAGAGGAATTTTGTTGTTGTTGTTTGATATTTGAAGGAGCAACTCCAAAGAGAATTATGCAAGTGATGGATGTAAGAGGGCTTAAAATTTCTCATGTCAAGAGCCATCTCCAGGTATAATAATGATAATATTATTTTATGTTAAACAAAAATAATTGAATTTCTTCTCTCTGATAATTAGATTCCTTAACGCTTAACCATTTATGTCCGTACGAATACAGGCCCTACGCATGGCTGCTAAAAAAAAAATAAAATGAAAAATGAAAAAAAAGAAACTTTTGACTTTTGATCGAGTGATTAATGTAGTGGAATATAATTACGTACTATTACTCAAATTTTAATGCCTAAACTTGATTGGAAACTGTGGATGATAGGGCATTTATGAGGATGAAATAAAATTGGCAAGGTAAATAACTAAAGATAAGAATATGGTTACATAGATCTCATTTAACTTCCTATTTTTGATGAATCACACAAGCCCTCGAATTTTGGGAAGTTGAAGTCATTCCGTACAACCGTACATTTATTGTAATACTACACTTATGTTAGTACTAATTTTTAAAACAAAGTTACATTACTAGTTCGAATATATTTAACGGTTTTTCTATGAAGCCAACAGGTGGTTCCATATTAGAGCCACACTTCTATATACAACAAGTAAACCTACCATATTCTCTGATTACTTAAATAACACTAATATAATTTTATTAATATGGTATGTTTATTTATTGTATATAGAAGGTTGGCTCCACTATGGAGCCAACTATTGGCTTCATAGCAAAACCGTATATTCAATTACTGTTTGAATTTTAGATTAAGGCTATGTTTAGTAAAATTAGCTGATAAGCTAGCTTATAACTTATCAGTAATTTTTGAGCTTATAGCTTATAGCTTATAACTTATAGCACAAAAACTAGCTTATATGATAAAAGTGTTTGGTAAAATTAACTAATTAACTAGCTGAAATAAAAATTTCAACGAGCTTATTTGAAAAGTTACCCAAAGAAACTTATCAAATAAGCTCGAACTTTTTAAATAAGCTCGTCCTACCAAACATACCTTATTTGAGTCAAGAAGCTTATAAGTTAATCAAATAAACCATAAACTAGCTTATTTGTCTACCAAACATAGCCTAATGATTATGTTCACAACACATGGGTGTATAGATAGATATATAAATTTGGAAGATATTAAACTTAGCGAGAATAGTAGCATAGGGCTTATGGTTTCATAACCTTAAGGATTAGCCTGTACTAAAAGAAATGCAAGGTAATGCTCGTTTTTCTTTGAATTCGAAGGCATAGCTTGGCTAGGCTTTGCTTATCCTATAGGATTACTTAATTAATTAATTAAAATATTTATCAAGTAATTAGACTAATGGACTATAATACAATAACCAATGTAATAATTTATTTACATTGTTTAATCACCAGTTGTCCTATGTTAATTTGTTTTGTTTTCTGTTACCTAACCAACGATTATATATTACAACGCTACTTAGCAAATTACGTATATGCTAATGCCGTAAACTTTATGAAATAAATAAATAAAACCTTTTAGTCATGCGACCTAAATCATTCGTTTTTAAAGTGTCACTTTTAGATTGGCCTAACATATCATATTTTAAAATTGGAACATTTTTATAAAGATTATTTTTAGTATATCAATTTTTGGGCAAAATTAGAATATAATTCTTACTATTAATTAGTAATTATTATTTACAAACACCATAATTATCCAAAAGTGTTACATGGGTATAATAAACCACCTGATTTGTTATCATATATTTGGTTTAGATGTATAGGAGCATGAAGGAATATATGGACTCAGAAGTGTTCCTCGAGAAAAAATCTGATTGTGCCCGTTATCTGCTTCCTCTAAAGTAAGATATCAAATTTTACATCATTAATATAATAATTACTATTATTACTAGAAACCTGCAGTTTAACTATTTATCCATATCGATTTATCATGATTTTTCTTCATTAGTTAATTAAATTCATCATAGGGTTTGGATTTGTGAGAATACTCAATTTAGCAAAATTATTAATGCTGCTACAGTGCTACTTTATATGTTTATTTACCCTTTTACACTAACACATATTTTTGGTGTACGTAAATATTGTATAGACAGCATTCACAGGATCTAAGGCCTGGAAAACATGTTAAAACCACATTCGATTGGCAGGGAAGAAGGAAAATTGACCAAAATGCACATAATTTTTTCCACCATAAATCCCAGGTGATAAATCCTGTCATGTTTCATTCATCTTATGATGTAGTAAAATATTTCCATTTAAATCTAATAGAAGAAAATGAAGATGCACGGAATTAGGACTATTCCATATAAATTTATTTGGTTAATTGAATAATAATCCTGCAGATGGAGGGCAAAACTGGAAGCATAAGCAGTGAAAGTAGAGAAGAAAATGAAGGTGAAAATGAGGCAAATATTTCAATGAACTGGTGGCGTTTGGACAATCACAAAACATCTGGATCTAGTTGTTCTATAAATTTGGACCTAACTATGTCCTGATTAGTATTTCTAATTTAACAAGTCAGTGTTGGTTAGATATTTTCATATTTAATAATTTGCTACTACTATATATAGTTAAAAATAAATTAACCAAGTAGTACATATCTTAGATTTGTTTATTACATCTTTCAAATTGAGATGAAGTGCGCCTAACTAAAGCGGCTACAAACCCAAAGGGGTATTTTAGTTACAACGTTTATGACCCACCAGGTATCAGCCCAGCCCAACTAATGCACGTATGAAATTTTGAGATCCATAACTTAAATCATGAACGATAATTTTATTTTATTTTGGTTAAACAAAATTTATTTTATTAAAATTGTAAGTTGATGTAGAATATTATAGAATATATACTATTTTTTTTTTATCTTTTATTCCTTCAACATAATGTCATTATAAATGCATTTTCGAATAAAAAAATATTTACTGATACTTTTAGTTGTCCATCATTATTAAATAATATTTTGATTTATATTAACTCAGATTTTTTTAAAAGTCTTTTTTATAAACAATAATTTTCTCTTTTTTCTATATTTATATTTAAAAGGTTTTTCTACCTTTATATTTGAATGGCAACCAGGTGGACCATCATTTCTTTCATTTAGTAATGCTACAATATTGTCTCCAATAACGATTACTTTTTTTTTCGAACTTTATCGGACAAATTTGGGACATTTTTAAATAATTTATTTATATTTGAAAAATATCATCAACATATGTGCGAATCTAAAGAAGATTTGGCCAACAATTCGGCTATCTTACATTTTATTTCAACTACTTGTTTCCAGATTAATCACTATCATTACAAATTACTGATATATGGGTGAAGCACAACCACTCAATAAAGTTTTTTGTTTGGACTTTCAAAAAGAATTTGTTAGCCATAAAAATTCAACAGAAATTGATAAAAATTGGATATATTATTCAACAAAGAAATCATATGCAAATTTATATGATAGGCTCAGGCTCTACATCGCTTGCTCAAAATGGAGGATTAGCTTTTATGAAAGGGAGGGTTGTACTTTTAGGCTAGATGATAAATTTATATTTTTGACCGAATTTTCAAAAGTAAAAATATAATTAATTTCAGCGAACCTGAACTTGGGATTGGTTGAATCAAACTAATTGACATTCCAAAATTTAACTAATTTTATCTCGGGCTTAATCCAATCATTTAACTGCAATCTAAGATAACAAACACTAGATAGATGGCATTTGAATAGGTCCTCTCAAAGCATCTATAATATTTTGAGTCGAAATCTATTTAATTGGCATATAAATGAACTAAAGTAGAAGGCAACATAAAAAAATAAATCAAAATTATTCCAATACAACGAGAACGAGTCTCTGAAATAGCCACATCTGTAAACTCAATCGTCTTTATATTAGAGAACACTTCTTTTTACATCCACCCATGAAAATTCAAAAATAAAAATCACATGCAAAAAATCCTGGAAGAAATGAACAAAATTAGTCCGAGGTATACTTTGTCTGTTTGTTCCTAACGAGAAGTGGTGGACTGAAAAAGGTCGAAAACATCGTATTTTATATTGATTTTATAGAGATTCTTCCCATTGCTTCGTGATTCCGCAATCCACTTTAGTGTCATTACTGCTTGGACTCATTTGCACCAAAACCGGACGAATTAGTATTTAGTACACCACGTTAGTCTCATATAATATTTTTAATTTCGTATAAATGACATCATCAAAATATTTTGATTATAATAATTTCACATAAATATCATTGTTTGGAAATTCATACCGTTCCCGGGTTTGACCCGGGATTGGGACCCGTCCAAGTAGGTTGTTTGGATCGAGTAGTACAGGATTTGGTCAAACACGGCCAAAACCTCATAGTATTAACATAGTCGGGTCAACGCAGTTTGATCAGACACTTAAATATTTTTTATCTTTTAATTTTTAAAAATAAAATTATGTATATATATTTATATGGTAAATATTTATGACAAGATACAATATTATTAACACTTTTGGGGTATAAAAATTTACATATAAATAATTTATTTTATTTATAATATGACGGTTGGACCGGTAATCCACTGACCGGGACAACATATAAATGTAAGAGTTGTTGTTTTTAAAATTAAATGTAATGTTTAAGCAACAGATTCTACTTATTTTAAAATAATATATGCTTGTCATGAGTATTTGTAATTTGAAAATATATACATTAACAAGTTATAATNTCTTAACTATTTTCAAACTTTTTCAAATGTGCATTATTATTATCTTTATTTAAAAGGACACCCTATTGTTATTAGAGTAGAATTAAAACGTTTGAATAACTCATTGAATTAATTAAACTTGAAACGTATAAAATAATACCTAGTGCGCTCAACGTTGAACGAACAAGTATGAAAATTGAGATTTGCGGAAGCTATAACCAAAGATTTAAAAAACTCTTCAGGGAAGCGTCTCACTTCCCCTCAGAGCTCTTTCATTGATAGCTATCAAAAACATAGTTTGGACTTATACAATAGAACTCCCTTCTATTCTAGCCACAACTATGAACTAGCCTACCAACTAATTTCCTGGCCACATCCCGTGGACTTGTTTACTCACACTTACTCCCTAAGTGTAACTATTCGAAAGTGTTTTAATCAGAATGAAAAGAATACAACCAAATCAAAATAATCTAAGTTCCTCAATGAACAATTCAATTGAGAACTCGAAGCAAAAAGAAAAGAAAGCTAAGCAATAAACTTGAAGCTTGAAGGTGATGGATAATTGCCCTAGCATCAGCAGCCACCTTCAATCTTCAAGATCGGCTTTTTATATCATCACATTGGACTCCCTTAATTCTTGGTCTCTATACGGCATTTTCACCAAGTCCTACCATGTAAAGGACTCTTCTTCTCTCTCCACATCTTCACTTGCCATACTTATCCAATCCTTTTCTTTCGTGATCTTCTCCGCATGATATCCCCTTTCCATATCAACAACATCCTATAACACGTAAATATATGTTAAGGTCAAAACATAATGGAAACTAATTTAGGAAACATAAACTTCCCTTATTTATGCATGGCAGGAACTTCTTTAAATTTTGAACTCATGCCAAAATATATCTTTCAAAACTTATAATAAATAGATTGATTTTTTCCCCACCTTTCTCCATGATTATCTAGTAATAAGTCGAATTCCACTTTTATCCTTCAAAAGTCGAAACATATTCTCCCATTTTCAAATTGAGACATATTCTAAGTTGTGTGAAACAAAGCATTATGGCAGCCTATGACCATGACCCCTTGTCGTCTTCTCTCACCTCCGACTCGCCGTCTTACCTCTCCATCGCCGCCCTTCCGTCCTCCTCAGACGGCGGCGGCCACCACCCGACCGACTCCGATCTGTGGTGCCTCACCTCACTCAGCTCGAACCTCGGGCAGCTCGTGTCGGCTGCCGAGTTCAACGACTACAGCGACGCCGAGATCGTGGCCGACGGCATCCCCGTCGGCGTCCTACGTGGCGTCCTGGCCGCGAGGAGCCCCTTTTTCCACGACCTTTTCCGGAAGGATCGCATTCGCACCAATGCCACGGAGCGGAAGTACCTGCTTTCTGATCTGGTGCCGGGCGGGACTGTTGGTTATGACGCGTTTTTGACGGTCTTGATTTACTTGTACACGGGCCGGGTCAGGCCTGCCTCACCCGATGCTTCCACGTGCGTCGACGAGGCATGCCCCCACCACGCGTGTGTGCCGGCAGTCGACTATCACGTGCACCTCTTGTACGCTTGTGCCGCCTTCCAGATCAATCACCTCATGGATTTCGTTGAGGTGCACGATTTTTCTTTTTCTTTTTTTTTTTTTTCTTACATTAATGAAGAACATGTCATTTCATGGGAGTATTTGTAGAGTTATGAACAAGATTTGACTCTATCGGTGACTGCAATACAGTCACCGAGCTTTTCACCGTTTGATCTGAAGAATTCCGGTGACTGACAGTTAGTCTGTTTACAGCCAGTCAGTCACGGCCGTTTGGTTTGATTCTGCTATAGAATATTAATTCCCAATCTCTTGATCACTTTCTTGAGCCCAAATGGTTGCAAACTATTGATCAAACAAGAGTTGTCTCATTTCATCTAAGTTGTGCTTTCTAGGTGAAAAAAAAAAAACATAAAATTCGAACAGTAAATAAAGCCAGCCATATGTCTTTAACGTTTCAAAAACAACCCTTTTTCAGCGACGCCTTCAATATTTGGCAAACCAAGTTCTGGTGGAGGACATGATCCAAATCGTGAGGGCCGCAATCCACTGCGGCTCGACGCGCCTCGTCTCCCACTGTGTCCACCGGATCGCACGTGTCGACATTGATGACGTCATCGTGGACCGGACCCTCCCGGCCGATATTGTCACCCAGATCAAAACCATCCGCGCGGAGTCTGATTACGAACAAGAGCACGACTCATCACAAGTGAAGCTCCTCCACTACCTCAACCGCAAGGTCAACAAGAGGATCTACCGGGCCCTCGACTTGGACGACGTCCAGCTCGTGAAGCTGCTGCTCGACGAGTCGAACCTCACCCTGGACGAGACCTACGCCCTTCACTACGCGGCCGCATTCTGCAGCCCCAAGGTGTTTGACGAGGTCTGGTCCCTCGGAAAGGCCGACTTGAACATTCGAAACGCGAGGGGCTACACGGTACTCCACATAGCCGCCAAGCAGAGGGACCCGTCGATTGCGCTGAGGGTTCTGGAGCACGGCGGGTGCCCGATGGTGCGCACGTGGGATGGGAGGACGCCGGCTGTGATGCGGAGGAGAATAACCCGGCCCAAGGACTTTTACAGCACGGCGGGGCCTGGGAAAAAGACCAATATGGACCGGCTTTGTATAGAGATTTTGGAAAGGGAGATGCGCGGCTGGAGCCTGTGGAAAGGGACCGTGCCGGAGAAGGAATCGGCTATGGTGGCGACACATGATCTTCGCATGAGCCTTCTGCTTCTTGAGAACAAAGGTAAAAAGATTCGGGATGAGATCGGTATATTCATCAAAACTACATTCATGATCTTCTGATTACACGCACAACAACACGTGGACACTAACGTAATTAATTATTTTATTGTATTTAACAAAGTAATTACATTTAATGTAATGATACAAATCACAAATCTCACCGAGGAGGGTTAATTATTAGAAAACATAAAAAAGTGTATCTAAATGATGGTTTGATTTGGCAGTGGCAATGGCGCGATATTTGTTTCCTGAGGAAGCAAGATTAGCTATGCACATAGCACGTGCAGATTCGACCTCGGAGTTTTCAGGGCTTTCGACATCGACAGGCAGCTCGTCCAGAAACTCTAGTGACGTTGATTTAAATGAAATGCCACCCGAGCAAGTCAATAGGCTTCAACAGAGACTGCAAGCCCTGCAAAAAGCCGGTAGCTGCTCTGTTTCGTTCTCTACTCCTTCAATATGATTGAGCTTAAACAAGTGTACTTATTCATTTCCAACTCTTATTTTTTGGTTAATTTTTTTCGTGGATATGGCTCGAGAGCAGTGGAAGCAAGTCGCCGGTTTTTCCCCAACTGTGCGGATGTTGTGGATAAGTTGGTGGAGGACGACACATTAGGCGACCTCTTGTTGGAAAAAGGTAGTCCCGAGGAGCAGAGAACGAAAAGAGTGAGGTACATGGAACTCAAGGCAGACTTGATGAAGGCGTTCGATAAAGATATGGCAGTGAACAAGCGTCATATCGGGCTTCCTTCTCGGGCTCGAGATCCTTAAAAGTTGGGAAAGCTTGTGTTTTTTGGCAATTAGAAGACTTTATAATTCTGTTTTGACTAAACTGCTACATGTGAATGCTCTCTCAAACTTAGGTTCCTTGTCTTGCATGATGAAGTATTGTCTTGGGAATAATTCAATGGTAGCTTCTGATCGTTGATCGAAATTTTGAATCTTTGGCAATCGATTGATGAAGTTTTGCATGCGAATTAGTGCTAGAAATGTTTTCTAACCGAGTTATGATGATCCAAAACTATAAACGTTGACAATGGAGATGAACAATTGAACTTTTTGAACAAAAAGAACATTAGATGTCACTTGACAGCTACATGCTCTCCTATATATGGGTTCTCGTCAATATATGGGGTCCTCTACCTTGCCATTAAAATAAACATAATATATAGTTTCAAGCCACCAGGGATTGGGACTGGGAGGTACGTACGCTTTTTACATGATTGGCGTGAATCAAATTTTGCAGCGGACTCGCTGTCTATACTCAGTTCAGGGGGACTTCATGTGCTAAGTGCTCTTCCGGGAGGAGTTAAACCGTGGCTACAACACGATATAAACACGAAGCCAAGTAGTTTGAACTTTCTTCCTACACTTTGCCTCATTTTTTGCAACTGTGGGATTAAACACACAACTGTGAAAAACCCACACTGCAATTATGTGTAGGGTGAAATCTACCCATATTTTACTCCATTAATTAATGAAAAATAATTTAAAATAGTAACACATGATAATAGCCAATATAAAAATTCTTTGTCCAGTACGATGTATAGTCATCCTTATAATTAGTTGGTATTTGACCAAAAAAAAAAAGGTGGAAAAGCTACTTTGATTTTGTAGGGATCGCCATGATACCGATGATCTCTTTATCATGATCCGGTTGGACTAATTTGGCGTTGACTCCGACCATCAAAACTGGCTAAACTGTGTTCCATTTAATTCCCCCCTAACCGGAGATTCTACGTTGATAATTGTGATCCCAGGAAAGAAAATCAAAACGACTTTAATTCTAAAGGACACGTTTTTTTAGATTTGATTAAAGATCTGATTATTGCCAATTTTTTTTAATTTGGCTTTTCAGTGTTGTTCTCTCTTGAATTCGAGCCCATAGAAAATTTTCGAATCCAACCCCACAAAATTAGACATAGTAAGCGCGAGTTTCAGAGACACATTCGAGTATTTTGTTGTTTGATCTAACGATAAAAAAAAAAATTGATAATAGCAAATAGGGTTGAAATTATTGAGTTTTAACTCGTTGTCCCAACGATTCAAAAGTCGATCAATAATTTTAACCTCGAGACAAATAGAGGTGTAGAGTCTGACTGCACACAACATGTACCATATTTTTTATCATTAAACCACCACACTCATATTTTTTTCCTCCAAAAATTATTGCACAACCATTAATCAATTCTAAGGGCATCCATAATCCTTCCCATTCATTTAATTAAAAATAAACACTCTATCTCATCAACATCATCTCCACATTATCTTTCCATTAAATATCTCTCCCTTTAAACACACTCACATTCTTATCAATTCATTTAATAAGACTCATTCTCCACTCATTCAATATAAATTTTAATATTTTTTTTTTAAGAAAAATAATTAAATAATTAAATAAAAACAAAAAAATGAATCAATTCATTTTATTCTTGATCCGTGAAAATATTAAAGTAACATCTAATTGCTAAAAGTGTGGAAAAGGATGTCCGGACAAGAATATCCTTGTCCTGCCCTACTCAAGATCTCATCTCAAATTCAGACAATTTTTTTCAAAGAAGACTTCCATTTTCCCGCGACCTTTGTCACCCACAAACTGCCTTCCAAACGGGAAAAGTAAGTTCAATCACAAAAGAGATCTTCTAAAGATACCCTAATCCCATGTTATTGTTTTCTGCGCGTGATTTCTACTTTAAACTTATTTTACTTTGAAAACTTTCACCATCACTCGGACGATCAACCACCTCACTGTTGCTAACTCCATTTTCGTTCGCCTTTTACAAGAAAGATATGATCTTGTTTCAGAATGAGGCTCATCTTTTAGGTTCAAAGATTCAGTTTTTATCCCCAAAGAAAAGAGCTTTAAAGTTCTGATATATTTTTTTCGTTCAAAGAAGAAAAGAGCTCTAAAGATCTGTTTTTGCTTCAGGTTCTGTTTTTGTTTCTGTTTTCTGTTTTCCCTCTTGAACTCCAATTGGGTTTGTAGTAAACTCATATATCAGTCGAGGAAAATTCGATTCCTGCTCGATAAAACCTTGAAAACTCCCAAATTTAAGCCAAAATTTTTCAGTTTCTCTGTTTTGGAGGGACCCAAAAAAAAAGAAAAAAAAAATCATGGGGACCAGCAGCAACGATCTCCTGTCATCTTCCCTGAGCTTCGGCTCGTCCACATACCTCTTCACCGGCGGCTACGAACTCGAGTCGAACTTCGAGTCGTCGAGCCTCAACCGGCTCAGCTCAAACCTCGAGCGGCTGCTTCTAGCTGCCGAGTACAACGACTACAGCGATGCTGAGGTTGAAGCCGACGGCATCTCGGTCGGAATCCTCCGCGGCCTCCTCGCCACCAGAAGCCCGTTCTTCCACAAGCTGTTTCAAGACAAGAAACCGGACGTGGGGCCCGCCGGAAAACCCAAGTACCTTCTGTCGGAGTTGGTTCCCGGTGGGAACGTCGGGTACGAAGCTTTCGTGGTCATCTTGATTTATCTTTACACGGGCCGGTTGAGGGGCCCGCCTCCCGAGGTTGCTACGTGCATTGACGAGGCGTGCCCCCACGATTCGTGCGTGCCGGTGGTCGATTATCACGTGCAGCTCATGTACGCTTGCGTCACGTTCGAGATCAAGGAGCTAACTTCAGTTGTTGAGGTGATCGTTATTAGTGCTGTTAAACTTGTTAAGGCTCGAGAATGAGACCTTAACTAGCCGAGCTCGAGTTCATTTAAAGCTCGTGTGGTTAACGAGCCGAGCTCGGGTCGACTCGATATGCTCGATAGAATTTTTATATAACTTTTTATAGTTCGACTTGTTAAAGCTTGAGATCGGCTCTTTAAGGCTCTAGCTTGATTTCTGGCTCGTTTATTTGATGAGCCAAGCTCGGCTCGACTTGTTTACAAGCCTAATCGTGATTCCCCTGCTTTCTCTCCTTGCTATCTTTGCCTAAAACTCGTCTTACGTTTTTGGTCTTGTGTAGCATTGCCTTCTAAACTACGTTAACAAAGTTCGTGTCGAGGAGATAGTCCCGATTGTCAAAGCCGCAATCCATTCCGGGTCGGGCGCGCTCGTCTCTCACTGCATCCAACGGATCGTGAGGATCGACGTCGATGATGTCATCATCGATCGGACCCTCCCGGCCGATATCGTATCCCGAATCAAATCTCTACGTTCGAAATCCAACTACGAGGAAGAGCACGACTCGTCGCAAGTGAAGCTCCTCAACTACCTCAACTGCAAGGTCATCCAAAGGATATACAAAGCCCTCGACTCGGACGATATCCAGCTCGTGAAGTTGTTGCTCGACGAGGCAAACCTCTCCCTCGACGCGGCTTATGCCCTCCACTACGCGGCCGCCTTTTGCCCGCCTAAAGTGTTTGATGAGGTCAAGAGCCTCGGGCAGGCCGACTTGAATTTGAGGAACGCGAGAGGTTACACGGTTCTCCACATAGCCGTTAGGCGAAAGGATCCTTCGATAGTGTTGAGGGTTCTTGAGAGTGGCGGGTGCGTGATGGACCCCACGTGGGATGGGAGGACTGCGCTTACAATAAGGAGGAGGTTGACTCGACCCAAGGATTTTCATGAGGCGGTGGGGCCCGGGAAGGATACGAACGCATACCGGTTGTGTGTAGAGGTGTTGGAGAGGGAGATGTGGGGGAGCACTTGGGGTGGGGCCCCCCCGCCAGTTGTGGCGGTGGACGATCTTCAAATGAAGCTTCTACTTCTCGAAAATAGAGGTAAGGATATAATATGATGGAAATGCATGATTGGTTTGTGGTGTGTGTGAAAATTTCGTTTGGTTGATGCGAAAAGTTAGACCGTAGGGTGAGCTTAAACGAAGCTCATAGTAACTTATGGCTGATAGTTGATGATGGCTGAAAAACTAACTTATATGTGTAAAAATGTTTGATAAAGTTAACCAATGATTTAGATAACTTGTGATTCTTATCAAACACATGATGTGGTTCTTTTAATGCTCTAGTTTCTTTAACTTTGTCTGTCTAACAATAAGTCATACACAGTTACTGGGATTCGTCCAATTATATATTGAGGTTGATACTAAACAATTAGTGAGAAACTCGTCTGTTGTTTTTTGAATTACTGCAACGGCATGGATAGGGATCGTTCCGTAAGACCTTCACCCATAAGATTAGTTATTAGAAAAAAACAACAAAATCTTTCTGGTTTACTGCTTGATCTGAATGAATTTCGGTTCAATTTGGCAAGTGGCAATGGCACGATCTTTGTTTCCTGTGGAAACCAGATTAGCCTTGCACATAGCACATGCAGATTCGACCTCTGAGTTTGGCGGGCTCTCGGAACCCACATCACGGGCAAATTTGACAGAGGTCAATTCAAATGAAATGCCACCCGATGAGGTCAATAGGCTCCAGCAGAGATTGCATGCCTTGCAGAAAACCGGTAAGTCCATTTATTTTACTTTACACGTCGTCTAGTTACATGCAGATTTGTAATTTAGTCTTGTTTTATTATTTATTTTCTCGTTGATGGCTTGGCAGTGGAAGCAATGCTCCGGTTTTTCCCCAACTGCTCAGAAGTTGTGGATAAGCTGTTGGAGGATGACACTTTGGGCGATCTCCTATTGGAAGAAGGAAGTCCCGAGGAGCAGAGAACAAAGAGAGTGAGGTATATGGAGCTCAAGGCGGATTTGGCAAAGGCGTTCAATAAGGATATGACTTGAAATAAACGAAGGGCTTCGCGTCGTGTGCCTTCTCCCGCTCGACGTAATTCAAAAGGATAAAATGTGATGAATGGTAACTGTCCATTCTTTTTAATCCAAGATTTGGATTCTTGGAAGGCTAGCCTTTCTTATACAGTTGAAAAGAGACTTTATGCTTGTTAACTTGTAAGAGGCTTCTGCTGCTGAACACACACACACACACACACAGAGAGAGAGAGAGAGAGAGAGAGAGTTTTCTTGTTTTTTTTCCCCCTTTATTGCTTCTTCATTTTACTGTTTCTGTTGCTACCGATCAGTAAATTTGATTTTTGTTGATGGTTATCAGGAAAATACACGTGTGGTATCTACAGGTTGGTGGTTGGCAAAAACCAACTTGTACGATTGTTAGTGCTATCATTTTGAAATCGAGCCTAGGTTTTGTGATTATATAACTTCCACCATCAATGGAGAATAAAAAAGCAGTCTAGCCAAAAGTTTCAGAAAATATAAAAGCTTAGTGCATGATGCACGAACTTTTCTAGCATTTTTTTTCCTCTCCTGGTTTCGTCTCAAATAATTGCTCTTACGTTGGAGTCGAGATAACTCGGAGATGATGAGGGTACATATATGATAGAATCATCGAAATTTTTATAGGATTTTGTAGGAATATTATTGTTGGTTTAGGTTTACTCGGAATATCATGATACAAACTTTATCAGCAAGTAATGTGACGAAAATACTGGGACGCAGGGCGCGTGTGCAGATGTTCAAACAGCTAAGAAGCCACAATGGCAATCCCCGATGATCATAAGCCTCGAAATGAAAGAATAACCAACAAACACCACCACTATATCACAGAAGAAATGGGACATGCATGATTTGTTATTAGTGGTTACACTTTCGCGTACACTTTGTTGATACAAACGTTAGCTTAAAACACTGAAGCAGAAGAATTTACATAGAAACACTCGACTTTACAAATTTTTTTTTTCTTCGTTTTATGTTCCAAAGTTCAACTTTTGCCATTGCAGTAGTGAACAGTATTATCATTCCTCCCGTTACAGTTCAAGTTTACCTTGTTCAGTCCCCATATCCGTATAGTTCGATCGTCGCTTGCTGAGGCAAGCATATGTGGATTAGCTGGATTCCAGCTGACACAGTTTACGGCACCAGAATGCCCGGCCAAAGTCATGATGAGCTCTCCCGAGGGTCTGTGCCATATGTAAACCTACAGAGAGCATAAAAGTTGTAGTAATTTCTTTTAACAACACAAAGGCTTGACTCTAGAAGTGTGTTCGAAACACCCCTGTTTTTTTAAGAAAGTCGTTTTAAGTACTTAAGATTCAGTGTTTGCGAATATTAGCTGGAATTTGATTAATTTTAGAGTTAAAGTGTATTGTTTCTGCACCAGTGCTTAATAGACAAACCAAAAACATCAGCAAAATAAAAATAAATGCAAATGTGAGTTTCTTTTCGTTTCCAGCTAAATTCAGCGTCATTTTTTCAGTGCTTGCAAGATGTTTTAGGAGAGTACAAGGAACTTAAATATAAATAAATACATTAAAAATAAAAAATCAATATTCAAGAACAGAAGAAAAATGTATACCTGTGAGTCCTCACTTCCACTCGCAATAAAAGCTTGTTCCAGCCCACCAAAACAAGACCGCACGACAAAACGTGAACGCTTGTGGCCTTTATACTTAGATACCAGCCTGGGGCAGCCATCGATGTCCCAAAGATGAAGTTCTTCATTCCATAAGCTAACAAGCAAAAGCTTTCTATCCCTAGAAAGTACAAATGACGTTATTGTTTGACTTTCTTCAATGAATTTCTCGGTCACTGTCTCCCAATTGAATAACAGTATCGTGGTGTCTTTGCAAACCGTGACAAGCTCTTTCCCATCACTAGAGATCCCCAGGTCAGTAATCCTAACAGACTTCTGCCCTTTCCAGCATTCTAATTCTTTTCCTTCGAGATCCCACATGCTGATGCTCTTATCAGTAACACCAGAAAATATACTATTCCCATCCACACCCCAGCCGCAAGAGACAAAGCCAAGACCACTTTTTTCATATATCTGAAGGCATTCACCAGAGGCAATATCCCACCGTCTAATGGTCTCCTCAAATCCACATGAAAGGATTTGATGATCATCGAGGCTCCATGAGATATACGAGACCGGTTTCTGGTGACCAATTAATCTGTGTCTAACTGAAACTTGGCTGTCATCCTTAACCTACAAAATGAATCTATAAGAATTATATAACTGTATAATCGGCTCACTTAGGAAAGATTGACTTCAAAATGTATTTACATTCGACAAACTGGTACATGTTTTTGCGCCTGACACCATCCATGTTGTATGTTTATAATTCAGAGGACAAAGTGTCGGGAAAATTAATGCGGTCAAATGGCAGTTTCAGCGGGTTAACATGCTGAAAATCAAAGGGCATATTCTAATCAATTTAGTTATATTAGTGTACTGAAATCAGCTTTACAGATAGTTTATTGTTGGGATGAAAATCAAGTAGCAAGTAGTTTAGCTTGTGACTAAGTTGTGTGCATACAAAAATTCTCCACCTGGACAACAAACAGTTTCGAACCTAATCTTTTTCAGAGTTTCACATAAGGAAGGTGATATGAGAAGGATCTAATAATCTAGAGAAGGTTGAATGAAGATTTTCTATACTGCAGCTGACACTAAAAACGGCTTTGGCAGATCAGGGAACTTTATAATGTAAAATCTTCTCCTGGTAAGTGAAATATGCATACAAACCAAATCTATATATTTCTGTCAAATGCTTCGGGATGTGGAATTAATATATTAATTGAGATGTTTAGCCAAATCTATAGTAATAACTCACCACATACATGAAGCATTTGTCAGGAACTTTCAGCTTTAGGACAGATATTACATGTTCCACAAATGTTTATGGTTAAAAACTAACTGCATGCCACTCTTATAACAAAAAAGACTTAAGACAAACACTAAACCAACACTAATTAATTGAAGGCAAAAGCAACAGTGATACCTCCCATATAATCACTAGACAATCACTTGATGATGAAGCTAAATATTTCCCGTTGTGTGAGAATTGCAAGAACCAGACTTCATTGCTATGTTCCTGTAATATCTAGAGGATGGAAAACAAAACATCAGATGTCACAGTAGAATCGAATAACCAGATAACTTTTTAGAAACATAGATACATCATGAATAGTTCGCATGTCTATAGCCATTAAAGACATTAACCAGCTAAATCAGATCTACTAATAGGAACGAACAAGCCAAAGACTAGCATCCAACAGCTGAACTGAGTTTTGGAATTGTTGATCCATATAGATCAGGCATCAGCAGAAGGGAAATACTCCTGTCCTCACACCAACATGGAACATTTCAGACCTAAATAAGTGAAAAAGTGCGAACTCTTTTTCTTTTAGTATGGAAACAACACTCAATTTTGGGCTCACTCTTGTTTTGGGTACTTAAACATGCATAAAAAATTAGATAAAAATTGTTTCTTCGTTTTAAAATTTAAATAAGGAAAAACACGAGAAAACTGTGAACTATAGTTTTAGTACTGGAGTGAGTTTTTCTTCTAGAGGAAATTTGTCCTAAAATCTGAATAATCAATAATGATAGAGAAAACATTCTGATTTCAGTTACAATTGTCCTTGCATCACACAGGTTAAACACACTATTCAATAAGAAGATGGAAAACCTAACTGATTTGCGGATGTACAGAGAACTGGAAGAAAACATCATTAAGATATTCTATTGAATAACTCTCAGAGAAAAATTTGGAGTTGTTACCAACAAGTGCAAATATTTGATAGTAATAACACCTGCAATGTTTGACATGGAATCTGGTCCCTTCCACAGTGATGATCTGTGAGCAATGATATGTCTCCAACTGTGGAGTTGTGAAACCTACAAGCATCTTTCTGCAAGTCAATAGCCTTTTCAACAAGATGCACCAATCTGTTTTCTGGAATTATTACAGTTGGAGGAAGCAACTTTTGCAGTTCCTCCAGTAATTTTCTACGAGATTTGAGTCTTGATTCTCGATCAGCCTTTTCAAGTGAATTCTGGGATGGAGACACCATGTAATAGGAAAGCTCTCGGACTCTATAGCCATTATTATCAGAAATGGGTGCAATCTCGGTCCTAAGAGTCTTCAAAGCATCCAGGACTTTTCCTCCATCCAAAAGCTCAAAAAATTTCTGCTCCAATATTGTGAACGATGCCAGCTTAACTACACACTCATCCATTCGATCAATTTCATGCAATGTCATGACACTGTCATCCCATTTACCATCAAGAATCTGCTGCACAAATATATCTACCTTAGTAGAGTGCAAAGGTATTCCTGATTCTTCCTCAAGGCATGCCCCTGACTTTGAAAACCCAAGAGAATACAATGCTTCAGTTATAATCCGAACAAGTTCTACTTTCTTAATGACACCTCTTGAACCAACAACCTCATCCTCCTCCTGAGATGCTAATAGGCGAGCCATTGAGTGACTTACTGAACAACTTTCTTGATCTCTAACTGATGCTCTAGAAGAAACCTTCAAACGTTTTGTGGGTGGTTCATTACCCTCTACACCCATGAAAAACGCACTTCAGCCCATATATGTATACCACATGATCACAAGATCCAGGATCTCTATAGCCAGATATTTGACAACTTCTGATGTAATTCTGCTCACAGTGTCAATGATAACAATATATTTGTGAGCACAATTAACAAATATTAGGAGAAGGGGAAAAAAAGAACTAAACCTCTTATCATCAGTAGTACTGTACTAGTCCATGTAAAACTAAGGCAGCAGCAAATAAGTTCAAATTTACTCGAAAAAAATAAGAAATGCAAGAATAGAAGAATTAATAATTAAGGCTTCAACCTTGCAGGGCAAACCCAAGATGGAAAAAATAATAATAATAACAATAATCACTCATACAGAAATCAAATGAGATAGAGTTTTTAGCTTAGAGTGTACAAACTTGCACAGCACCCTTTATAAGTTTAACTGTGCAACTGAACAAGGAAACTTTAATCAGGGAATAACACTCAAATTACAAAGGATTGGGCACTTATTTCTCCCCGTACGCAGCGTCCGACAACAACAGATGCCGGAAGAACAAAATATTTGTCTAAATACAAATGGGAGAAACTGGAAATCCATTTCAATGGATTGACTTGCAAATACTAATAATACTTATCCAATAAGTTACACCCAGCAGGAGACAGAGTTACACAATTTCTTGCTTTAATCAGCTGTTTAAATGCACCTAACTCTAAGCCGGCAATCAAACAGACTAATTTTTCATCAGGGCTCTCAAGACATAACAACTGATTAATTTTCTCATTACCCTATCTGGTTCATAAACTTGCACAGCGCAATAACACATCACAACCGCATAAGCTAGCTACCAGCTTAGATTCAAATCCAAATTAGGAAAAACCACGAGCGATCAATACTCCGCATGAATCCACGACCAATCTATAAATCCTCAAATTATAGACTCACCGAGAAAAACGATAAGAGAACGTCAATTGAAAGCGAATTAGCAGCAGCGGAGAGCAGAGCCTGACCGTACACCGGAGATTTGACGGCGATCGACAGAATAAGAAACCGGTGCCGTGCTATGGTCGGACAAAGGTGAGCCGATTTAGAGATGAGAACACTCGTGTGCAGTTTGCTGAAAATACGTACACGAGTTTTTACTGATTTATCCAACTTCACTTTTGACTAAATACATTTTCTTAAAATATCCACTATTGTAACATTTATTATTTTTTAACTATTTCCCTCCAAAAAAATCTATTTACTATTTTGAGAAATTAATTTAACAATTTATGGTATACTAGTGTGTATTCCGTGCGCTGCACGGAGGGGTTTTTACTTAAAACCTTTTCTAAGACTTTATATTATACATAGTTATTTATGTTTAACATCTTATTATTATAAAAAAAGAAATACTAAATATGAAAAATTATATATTATTTTTTGAATATAATGAGTGTCCCAACCAAACTAATAACATCCAACATATGATATATGATAATATTAATTATATGATCGTCATACTTTTTGAAAAAATATACATATATTTCTAATAAACATGTAAGATCCGCATTTAAATTTGTATTTGGATATGGGATGAAAAATGAATATGTACAAATAAAAAAGTACCAAGAACCTACATAAAATGAGATTCTTTATAAACTTTAAAATATTTTGTAGTTAAGCAAATATTAACAAACAAAATCATCAATTAAGTTGAACTTATCGAATATAAAATATAATTTATGATATCATTGACCATATTTACCCGTATTATTTAAAGTTATCATTGACCATATTTTTATGAATTAGGGTTTACAAAATATCTTTTTCAAAATAACAATTTTTTTTAATTTGAATTTGACTTTTTCATCCAACCGCCATTTTCCACAAGAATAAAAATAGTATTTTGGAAAATTTTAGACGTGAAAATCAAATAAAATTAATTTAATAGTAATCGATTAATTTAATATTATTCAAAATTGTTTAATTCGGTCAACCCGATCTTAGTGCACGTTTAATTGAAACAATCGCTTACACAAAAAAAAGGTAATCGCTTACAAAAAAAGGAAGTGAAATCTATCTATATAATATAAATCGGATTTGAAAAAAAAAAGGAAATGAAATTTCATAATTAATTAATTTAAATTGATGTTATCCGATTTATATCAACTCCCTTCCAAAAAAAAAGGAAATATCCGATTCCTACCAAATCGATTAAAAAAAAAGGATTATGATATACGTCCAAATAAATTACAATTGAAATGTAGGCGGGATTATGAAAAAAAAATAAAAAAAACTTTACCGAATGTTTGAAAAAAAAAATCGGATTAAAAAAAATTAAAAGGAAAAAATTCAAAACGTGAAATTAAAATTAAAAACGTGAATTAAAATTAAAAAAATTAAAAATACAAAATTTACCAAATCTCAACCCATCAAAAAAAAAGGAAAATCGAGTGAAATAAAACGTGAAAAAAAAAGGAAAAGCGAGTGAATTAAAAATGTACCAAATCGGATTTTAAAAAAATGGTAACAAATCTCATCTCATCCTAAAGAAAAGGAATTATAACAAATTTAACAAAAAAACAACCAAATCTTATCCTAAAATAAAACAATCCGATTTCCATAAATCACATCCAAAATCAAATTAAGTTAGGCGGGATAAATGAAAAAAATTCAAAAAGAGTTTCCAAAACAGGTAATTTTCGAAAAATTTGAGAGGGAAAAAATGATGTTTAAGCGGGAAATGAAATATTTATTCAAACATTTATTCACACATTTTTCCTTCTCCGTATTATATAGTAATAGATTTCAAATGATAATTTATAAAAATTGCGGCTCATTATTTATGAAAGTAATTAAGTCCTATTTTAAGATACCTTGAATACTCAAATCATGTGAATGAATTAATATATGGTATAAAGTGTTTAAGAAAGTAATTAAGTCATATTTTAAGATACCTTGATTACTCAACTCATGTGAATTAACTAATATATGGTATAACGTGGACGAATTTATCTTTGGTATTGATGGTTGTTTCTATGGTAAATAAATTAATCAAAATATGGTATAAAGTGAGCAAAATTATTTAAGTTATTTAATGACTCCTTTTTGGTAGGAAATTTCAAATTTATTGAAAAATTAATCAATATACGTTTTTTCTATAATGTCCGTGTCAATATATTGATTTTTAGGCGCGAGTTTCAAATTTTATTTCAACTTTTTGTATGAAATTTACATAATAAAATTACTGTAACTCCGAAAAAATAATATGAATGAATATTTTAATATAATGTGCGTATATCGATATTTTTTTTTATAAAAAAAATTCTGGTCAATTTTTATTTTATTTTTTTTGTATAATTAGTTGGTCTCGATTTACTTCATTTTTTGTTAGGACATTTCAAATAATTTTTGCGTGAAATACACTATTCATTTTTTTAGCATGATTAAGAGTGTTGACTTTTTTTGCATAAAAAATCTTATGACTGATTGTTTTTACTCAACTACTTAAATTTTTTGATTTCGTTATTTTATACAAAATAAATTTATTTTAATTAATGAAACAATATAAGTTTTATATTTATACTTATATACACATAGGTTTTTAAATGTATGATAAAATTTTACCAAAATAATTATTTTACGGAATCACGTAATAGTCAAATCGGATATCTGAAAAATTTCTTTGAAATGACACATATCTTGAAACGAATATAATGTAATTTATTATCAGTTATGTGCAACACACAGGTTGTCTACTAATTTTAAATAGATATTTTTATGTAATTTTTCACAATTTAAATTTTATATAACATTTTCAATAAAATTAATATAAATACATTGTATTACATATTCCATGTTTCTCATTTATATATATATATATATATAAATATTATTTAATGATGTTTTTTTTAATTTATAAATATTGATGAATATCTCTTACCCGTGCATCGCACGAGATTTGTACTAGTATTATCTAATTAAAATCTACGAATTTAATTTGACAGAGCATACAAATTTTGAATTTGCCTGAGTATTTTTGGACAGATGAATTATATATAATTGTACTATTCAATTAATGCATATATCCAAAATTTTCCACTATACTTTTTATTTAATCATGAAAAATAACGGTTACATTTTACATTAATTGAGTGTAATAATATTTTTAAACTATTATTCATATAATAATTGCTGATAATATTAACTAATTATAATTCACATTAAAAGGTTTACAAAAGTTATAGAATTATAGAAATATTATAGAATTTTATTTGCTTAAAAGTATTTATTTTGTCTTTTTATTTTATTTTTTTATTTTTATCTCATTAAGCAATAAATTTGAGCAGGTTATACAAATTATCTATGTTTTGTGATTGTTAACTGTCAAGGAAAAACATAAAACCCCAACTTTATTTTATTGTTACCTTTTAAAAGTTTGCTGCATGAAAGAATGGCAACCATTTCGATCAAGTTGTTGTGACAGTAACAAAAATGGCCCAACGAGGTAAAAAACTAGTGAGGTTTAAAGGGCACCTCAAAAAACTTTTACACAAAATCTCAATGGTGCATTCAAGTGGTCAACACTTGTTTTACATGTTAAATGAAAAACCTTACATACATTTTTTTCAATAGTACACTCTCTTTTAAGCAACACTGAAAGAACTTGCAGCATTTTCAACAAACTTGCGAGCACCCTTGAACCATCTCTTATCCCCAGCCTGTGCCTTGCATATGTAAAGCTTCCCATCTTTCACCGTTGCTGATATCAGCTGATGTTTGCCGCCTTCATCCCCGTCAGCAGTCCTCGTCAGCACCGACAAGAAATAATACTGTGAGCCTCCGACCACTGGAGTTGCCGTCTCCAATATGTTGGCCGTTGCCACCGCTCCCGAGTCAAATCCGCCCTAAAACGAAATAATACCTAAATAATATGCACAAAATAACCTTTCTAGTTTTACAGAGTTTACTGTTTTACCTCAGCATCAGTTTTACCAAAGTAGGCCTGTTTTCCAAGCAAATAATCCACCTGTAACAACATAGCATTGGATAAGAAAGAAAACCTTCACAAACAACACTAAACAGCTCTGCAATTGAGTGTTTAAGACAACATTAATTATTTACCTTAGAGAGGAAATCTTCGGGAGAGCCATAATCGGTAATAGATTTCTTGTCGGTGGGTGTGATTGTGACCGAGAGATTGCTAGTGGCATCGAAATTGTCTTCATATCTCAAAACCTGACCGGGAAACTCGACCTCAGTGCTCGGATTCCACTTTGAGGGAACTGCCACTTTGAACCCGTCCCCATTGTAAACCTTGAAATCCGTGTTCGTTTTTGGCTTCCCGAAGATATTAGCTGCATACATATATACATCTTGTTTTCATCACTCAAAAGTTCGATTTCTATCACCATGACCTCGTTTACTTAAAATGATGGGATTGGATAGTTTAATCCCATCAACTTTACACGTCAGCTTTTGTCCAATGTTTACAAAACATGGTGACTTTTAAGGCAAAAACAATCAAGCGTTTACTAACCTGGATAAAATTATAGCATCAAAATATATTTATATGTCTAAATCTGTTATTTGGTGGACTTTTAAAGGTAAAATAGACATTTCATATGCCAATTTAGGGACAATATGGTCCTTAATTTCTAAGGTGGGATTAAAATGTCCCACCCTCGCACAAAATAATCTAGCCAAATCGTGCATGAAAGTGTGGGACCCACATGACACATCAGCTTATTATCTAATCTCATCATGGTTAGTAAACGTTGGATAACAAGAGTTATTCAACCATATCCTAAGCTTAAAGTAAACGGGGCATATATATATAAATATACGAATGTATGTTTTCGTACCGAATTCTCATCTATGATAATTCTTGCCTCGACTAAAGAAATGAAGTTGGGATGCCATGCACAAAGTGTCAACCTATCAACGCCAGAATTTTGACAAATGCGGCATGAACTTGAAATAATGTTACACAAACACAACAATTCTGATGCCATGCTCACCTTTTGCTTTATCATAGGTGAAAAAATGCGCAAAGACTGCATTTTTACTTGCAAAACGACGAGATTAAAATACGAATATTGCAGAATACAGATTAAAAAAAGGTGAGGTTACATACCAGACTCTCCATAAGCAGCATCTGCAGGTGAGACTTTGGAGCCAACGGCAGCAGCCCCAATCAGAACAGTGAGGGCCAATCTCCGGGAAACAATGCTGCTGTCAGATTCTTGGGCCTCGGCCTGCTTTTGGGCCCGGCAGAGTAGTACGCCGGGCTTAAGAGACGGTACTTGGCGGCTGTTAGAAGCTGTTCTACCAGCTGGGCTTGAGACAGTTGCAAGGTGGTGCAAGAAACATGCAGTTGAGGCCATTTTTTTTTTTTTTTTNTAAGATGATCGAAATTTGAATCCCTTTTTTTTCCTTTGGTTTGATGAGGTTATTCTTGATTGCTTGTGGGCTTGTGTGTTTGTGTAGATTTTGATGAGTTTAGAGTGTGAGGTGAGTGTGAAGTTTGGATATTGGGAAGATTTTCGATATGGGAGGATAAGGTGGTTGAGGTTGTGATTGGTGCCAAGTGGAATATGTTACAATGTAATCCCTTCAAAATTTGGGTCCCAAATGCTATTGTGTGTGTGTATACTTGGCATGCAATTTTGTCCAATTACAGCCTACAATTATGTTCAATTATTTGTGTTATAAATTATTTAGAAATGCAACAGAAAATAAATAAGCATCTGGGCACCATTTCAAATCAACAAAAATGAAAGAAAATCGATAACAAATTAATTCAAAACATATCTTCAAAGTTCAAATCTGTTTTCTGCTACATTATTCAGGACAGGTAAACACCACCCGATATAAATAAACTTTCAGAAAAGGAAAAAACCCACATCTTCGAGCACCAAATGCATATAACCTACTAATTTATACATATAGTCGAGTGCAGAGCTTATCAGTACTTGTAATCTCGTAATAAAACAGCATTCTCCCTTAATCTTTTGAAGTAAAATGAAATCGTCCCTCGGATCTGAATAAGTTTACACATACTAGAACTCTAGGCAGAGGACCTCGCGCATGGTGCTTGCTAATCCTTTAATTGGCCTTTGATCTTCACGCGAAAAGATACATTAGCATGACACTAAGTTACCGAGACTAATTTTGAACCGGAAGCAGAATGGAGTGAATGGAAGCTTGTGAATTGCTCGCTAACTTTCCACTTTAGTCCCATCTGGCACAGAGAATGCTGTTTCAAGCTGGAAATTACAAAGTTATGAGCAATTTGTCAAGAGACGAAAAGCAAACCAACTGTTCTATTTCAATCAACTTGGAACAATAAATATTAACAATTTCTTACTAAAGCTGTTTGATGAAAAGAAACTTTTAGGTATAGCATGCGTTCAGATAAACCCAAAATCTGTAAGCGAAAGAGACGTAAATACGCCAAAACACTTCCATTCATTCACCAAAACATAACTGATGAAATTGCTGAAGCAACATATCAGAAAATCCATACACAATCAATAGATTAACNTACATAAGTTATCACATCACAACCGGAAAAGGAAAGAAAAAAAGAATCACCTCCAGTAGCTTCAGAAATCAAAATCTAAACCCGAACTCCTCTTATCACGCTTACTGTCACCACCAAAATCGCCAAACCGAGTCGAACGGGAACTTTGACCAGATTGCGAACTGCCAAATCTACTCGAATCAAATTCCCCAAAGCCGCTCGAGCGACCACCACTGCCAAATCCACTCGAGCGACCTCCGCTTCCAAATCCACTGTTCCTAGCTGGCCCACCAAGGCCTGATCCAAAACCTCCACCCCCTGAACCTCCATAACCACCCGATCTGCCACCACCGGAACCTCCATAACCACCACCAGAACCACCATAACCACCACCGGAACCTCCATAACCACCCGACCTACCACCACCGGAACCACCATAACCACCACCGGAACCTCCAGAGCGTCCAAATCCAGAATCACCAAATCCGCCTGAACGTCCAAAACCGGAATCACCAAAACGGCCACCTCCCATTCTTCCACCAGAACCAAAACGACTACCCCCTCCAATGCCACCATACATGGCCAAGGACCCAGGTTCAACATCTATCTTCGGGAGCTGCAGCCAGACAAAATACAGAAAAAGTTCATTTCAATTAAAAGTTTAAAACTTTATACAAAACAAAGAAAATGATAGACATGTTGCACATCATATAGTTGATATTGAAACATCTTAAAGAACCTTAAAGATGTAGCTCACCTCATTGAACTGGCATCCTACATCACGTTCGATTATTTTGACATCCCTACGTTCGTGGGCTGTATACATAAGAATTGCGGTACCTTTCTTCCCAGCACGACCTGTTCGTCCAGATCGATGGACGAAAGTCTCCGGGGTATTCGGAATTTCATAGTGTATCACCTGTGCATAAAAAAGCAATCAAATCACTGATAACACGTGTCACAAAACTAGAAGTTTAGACAAGCCGAGGTTCTACGAGAGCAACCACATGATAAGTTTCTTTTAACAGACCATAAATGTGCCAAGTGCCCCCAAATATTATTAAGGACATAAAATTTGGAACCCAAAAGGAAGCTGCACTTCCAGAAATCAAAGATCAGAGTTAATAAAAATATTAATTCATTAATTTTTTTTTGGTAGTAGATTACTTGTCCTAGCTAATGATGCCACTGGGACAAATAAAATGACATTACCTTTAGAGCCTAAACAAGTAAGAAACTCAAAACCAGGTAAGCATCTCTTCCTTAGGGCATTAAAACATTTCTTTGGCATGAAAAGGTTAAAGGTGCAATGGCACTTTGTCCAATATATATTTTAGTGAGACAACCTTGTTTCAACAATTGCATCCAAAGTTAAGCACGAAAAGAATTCACATAATAGAAGAATCACCAGATCAACATTTGGCACGTCAAGACCACGGGCTGCCACATCAGTTGCCACTAAAACATTGATTCGGCCATCCCGAAAGAAAGACAGAGTTCTCTCCCTTTGGTTCTGTGAAATATCACCATGCAGTGGTTCGCATTTAAAAGTCTTTTGCATCGCATACGCCAATCGATCGGCATCACGCTTTGTTTGGGTAAATACAATACATTTACCTCCTTTTCCATGCTCCTGGTAACAAATCCACCATGGTGTTCCATTCAGAATAAAATGAAGCAACAGAACAAAATATTCAATTAAATATAGCAGAGTGGTGAAATTCCAGATTTATACAGTTATCAGAGGGCTAAGTATTGCTGGTTTCTCTCTCAAGTCAGATGCAATTGAATACAAGGAAATCCCATCAGCTAATTTCTGATCATTTTCTCCCACCTACAACTCATATTAGAAGTCAACAAGCTTAGGTCAGCCTCAGTACAAGATTATACAAAGGAGACAACTGTACTGCTAGCTCAAAGAGAGATTAAAAAATAATAATAATAAGAATAGAGAGTTTTAGAACAATGTTGTATCTTACAAGGTCGATGGTAACTGGATTTTTCAAGAATTTCTGAATAAGTTTCTGGATCCAGTTTGGCATTGTAGCTGAAAACATCATTGTCTGATGCTTCTGCGTAATATATCCCAAGATAGTCTCAACATCATCAGCAAATCCCACATTAAGCATCTGATCAGCCTCGTCAAGGACAACATATTGCACTTTTGACAAATTCAGGGCCCCACGCTTGATCAAATCAATGACACGGCCAGGGGTCCCAACAACCACATCAACACCACGGTCCAGAGTACTCATTTGACGAGCTATTTGAACACCCCCATAAACACATAATGTATCTAGTTCTTTGGCAGACTCAGCAAATTCTATGTCCACTTGTTTAGCAAGTTCCCTGGTAGGAGCCAGAATAAGTGCCAAAGGATCTCTGCCCTTGCTGAAAGAAAACAAGCAACAACCTTAAAAATTCACTTTTCAAAAGAAAATTCAGGTAAGAAGATAGCTAAGAATAGGAANAAAAAAAAAAAAAAAAAAAAAGCTAACCCATTTTTCTCATTGAATTTTATGATTTTATCCATGATAGGGATCCCAAAAGCTAGTGTCTTCCCTGTCCCAGTTCTTGCCCGCCCAATCATGTCACGTCCCTGCATGGCAGGTTCCAAAACTGCCCTCTGCAATTGCACAAAATTAACTTCATCGTCAAGAAAGACAAAATTATATCCAACCAATCATACAAAACAATCAGCAAACAATATGAGAGTCACAAGAAAATAGTTTCTTCACACACAGACACACATGGACATGTGTGTGTGTGTGTGTTTTTATACATATTTCCTGTGTTGAATCATATTACTATCAACATAATACTTGACACTGACAAACTTAAAAGGCTTTCTTCTTCGCTTCATTTTCTAACTTCAAGTAGAGATGACACAAAGTGTTGTACAGAATATGAACAACGATGCCAATATTCCTGCACCAGAATACGTACTTCCAGCAACTGGAGCAGTTATAAGACATCATACCACCACAGAATTAACACCAAATGCAAAAGATTCAGTTTTCTGGAATTGGACCTGAATCGGGAAAAGCTTCTTAATACCCCTACTCGCCAGGGCCGAGACAATATCCTGCGAAATCCCAAGCTTCGAGATCTCAAGCCCTTCATCCGATGATTCGCTGGAAGAGTCCCTTTTCTCATCGGCATCAGAATAATCGGCCACGGCAAACCCGGCCCGCAGAGCCAGGCTCGAATGGAAACCCCTCGTCAGCCCAAACGCCGGCGAAGAAGGCCTGACCAGAGGGGATTCAGTGGCATAAGTGTGAATTTGCGGAGATATGAGGGCATTAGAGGAAACAGAGAGTGGTTTCCCAGAGAGCAAATGGCTGAGCGCAGTGAGAGCGAGCCTGCTGGATGATGGTGAAGATCGCCTGATCTGAAGGAGGCTGCCCATCATTTTCTTTTCTTTCTAGGAAATGAAAGAGGTGAAGTGAAGGGAGAAAATGAAACAGTGATAAAACCCTAACGTGTAGAAGGGTTTTAGTGAGCGTTTATGGGAAAAGGGGAGTGCGCCGGAAGATATTTTATGAATGTACTGCAAGCCTAAGAAGGCCCAGCATAGATTTGGGCTGGGCCATATTTTGTGAGAGCTGGGCCAGCACAACGGCCTCCTCCGGTGGTTGGTCGTCATCGGTAATTTCGAAAGATAAGTGAGATTATATGTTAAAATTAGACAAAACCTACTTCTCCAAAATTTTATACATGCTGCTAATGCCATGTTTATGCAATTATCCCCCATTATCACCACACCAATGGCTTTACCTACTTTATGTTGAAACTAAAGGGGTTACAGGATGAGGAACTCATTCCAACTTAATTAGTTATGAAAATGCCAAATAAATGGAAAATTAGTCCATTTTGAATTTTTTTTATGGAGCTATGCTTAAGTTCTTATGCAAACCTTAAGTAGTGTATCTCAGGTTCACAAATCAGGGTCCTTTTAAGCACATCTATATCTATATCTATATAAAAAAGTTTGATTATTTTTTAAAAAGTAACTATTTTTCTTCAAATAAAATTATTTACTATTTTGGGAAATAAATTTAACAATAATAGTATATTTCAAATGATCAATTATAAAAATTGCGGCTCACTATATAAGGAAGTAATTAATTCATATTTTAAGATGTCTTAATTACTCAAATCATGTGAACTAATTAATATATGGTATATATTATTTTAAGAATCAATTTAGGGAAATACAGAAAAACCTAAAACACCTACAGTGCTCGGGTGATTCAAGGACAGACGTAGACAGTACAACGGTAGTGAAATTAGGTACTGTTAAAAAGGACGGAGTTTTTTATTATGGCCGGCTTGCGATAACTAAGAGTTCCTTGTATAATTACAAGGGCAAGGTCTGCGTACAACTGACCCCCCAGACCCCAACCTGTTGGGAATATACTGGGTATGTTGTTGTTGTTGTTGTTGCTTGCGATAACTAAGAGTTGTAAATCCTGCCATGCTCGGGTTCCAAGGCTCTACTTAGGAACTAGAGTTTAAGCTTTTATATTTCAGCTTGTGACATGAATCTGTAGAAATTGTTAGCCATTTTGGCTCTTGGAAGAATACTTAGGAACTAGAGTTTAAGCTTTTATATTTCAGCTTGTGACATGAATCTGTAGATTTTGTTAGCCATTTTGGCTCTTGGAAGAATTTTGTTCGCTCGAGAATATGTGTAGGAAGAATTTTGACTATGTATGAATGTTGTGTTGACACATTATATATTGATTTGGAGAAGAAAGAAAGTATAGAAGTTTGGCTGGATAAATCAATATTATGTTTAACATCCACAATATGTTGCTTCTTGGTATGCAAAATGTTTCTCATGATAACATGAACGATAGGAAATTATCTGTAGTTGAAGTTCATACTCATAGTATAGTCTCTTGCTTTTACAACAATGAAAATAGAGTTGAAAAGCTATAAATGAAATATAAATTTTCCATGATGGGGAGAGAGAGAGAGAGAGAGAGAGATGTTGGAACAAAGAAAAGAAGTCTGATGTTATTACAAGCATCTGGTGGTGATGGTGTACAAACATTGAAATAAACTACACCAGAGCCGTCAGCATTCTGAGTCAAATTACCTGTATTTTCACCCTTACTGATGTCAAAATGTAACCCACAGTTTTACATAAGAGTTTCTAGAAAG